TTCCGTATGCATTTACCTATGGCCCAGACGTTAGTCCCTCAAAGCTCATCCTTGATTGCTCTGTTTGTGCGGTCATGGCTCTTCGCCTTGAAGCCATCCCCAGGCTGCGCGATCCTCCTGAGCCGGAAGACCTTCGCCGCGTGGCTAGGCACAGTGGCCTTCAACACCCCCTTCGGCTCAACATCGCCAATCTTCTTGCCAAACAACCTCGGGTCCTCCTTCTCCAGTCCGACAGCGTACGGAATCTCCGTGGCGTTATACCAGTTTGCGTCCCTGAAGATCTTGACCCGAGCGTCGTCGCTCTCCGCGTCAAAGAGCGCCTGCGCCGTCTCCGTCGGCATGCGGTCCGCCCACAGATCGTGAACAGCCCACTTGTACTTAACCTGCGGCGCCGAGCCTCCAGGGCCATCAGCGACGAAGATCTCCGCAAGCGACGACTTCATGTCAACCTCCGCGCCCGCGGCGTTGAGGAAGATGACGACCTGGTCGCCGTTCTCCAACCGTCCGCTCCAGACCTGCGCCTCCGCGACGCCGAATTCGTCCGGCACCAAGCCGCCGCCGACATCCCTCCTGACTCGAAGAGCGCTACGGCCGTGGGGGTCCTGGCTGATGGCAATAATGGCGGGGTTGTTGACGATGCTGAGCGCCTCGGCGGGCATGTCGCGGAGGTCGTTGCCGAGCATCAAGGGCGACTTGAGCGCGGCCCAGAGGGCGAAGTGGGCTTTGTACTCCTCGTCCGTCATGCCGCCCTGCCCGACCTCGAGCATGTCGAGATCGTTCCAGCCGCCGGGGATGGACTTGTCTGCGAAGGCCGCGACGCGGTTGATGATAAACAGGACAGAGCAGTGGGTTCCCGGGGCGATGCAGAAGGGGTCCGCTGCGGTGTTGCAGCTGCAGAGGTCGTCGGGGCGGGTGAAGGAGTCGTAGATGTCGCCGGACATGCGCCAGGAGTTGGCGATAGACATTCCCCACTGATCAATTGTTAGCAGATTTCCGGACCAGCCGACATAACAAGAGATGAAGAGGACACTGTGGACGACGGGAACAACAGGGACCATGGGAGCATAGGAAGAAGCAATCAAGCAGACATACCGTGTGGACATAGTCTTCGCCCCAGTTGCAGAGGTTGAGAGAAATCGGTCGGCCAGTCTCTTGCAAGGCATCGGACATCTTCTTGAATCTGTTGAAGGAGATTTCGGGCGTGCCCATCCGGCCCATATGGAAACAGTTGTCGTACTTGAGGAAGTCGACGCCCCAGGAGGCGAAGCTCTCAGCATCGTCCTTCTCGTGGTCCAGAGAGCCGGCTTTAAAAGGTCCATCAGAATGTCAGATGAATAGAGACATGCTCATAAACTCACCGAACCTGGCGCAGGTCATCTCGCCAGCTGTGGAATACATGCCATATTTCATGCCATGCTTGTGGATATGATCGGACACGTGGTTGAGGCCATTGGGGAACTTCTCAAGGTTCGGCTGAAGCTTGCCATTGGCATCGCGGCCGTTCTCATCTTGCCAGCAGTCATCTAGAACGACGTGGTTGTATCCCAAGTCGCGCAGGCCAAGGCTCACGATGCGTTCCGACGTGCTTAGCAAGAGGTGCTCGGAGACGTCGCAGGCGAATGCGTTCCAGTTGTTCTGGTCATGGTCAATCATCCAATCTCATACAGCTATAGGCTGCCAAAGACTTACCCATCCCATTGGAGGTGTATCAGCCAGCCCATTCATGAGAGCGGCGACACGGCCAGCCGATGCCAACGCGGCCACGAAACCCAGCGATCTTGGTGTCATTTTGACAGGCGTGTGATCAGAGAAACAGCAATAGGTCTTGCTAGTTGCTCGGCTCGATGAAAGAGGCACAAAGTCGTTCGGGCTTCCGTTCTTATACCGAGCAGACGGTCAGCAAAGGTAGCATAGCAGATCCATTCAGCCCCGCCGTCGCTGCCTCCAACATCACGTTTCGCGGACTCCGACTAACATGATGCCGGCCGCCAAGAGAGGGGCACGGAGGGGCAACTGGCCGGTGAGGTCGTGTAAACGGAGCGTGCTGCCGACAGGGGGCGGAATACTCGTCGAGTTTCCCGCCGCCTTCTCCGCACTCCCAGGTTCCAACCAACCATCCCCCCGAGTCATTCGGATCCGCTGGTCAAACGGCCTGAGCACTGCATCTCGGGGGGAGGGCCTGGTAAATGATCGGAAGGAATACTTGCAAATGTTGCCAAGGAGGCACCCCGCTGCTATGCCGTGTGGTCACTGGCTCCTGAGAATTTTTGCAACCCTTGCCGGCGTATTTCTCGGAAGATGAGTCCCTCACCTCACCCCAGGTAACGAATATGAACGGCTTCATGGCTGTGTGTGTGGCATGTGAGAGCGCAAGATCGAATAAGTCCACTATGTAGTACCCAAGAGCTCAGTCTCCACCGACGGGCCAAGAGTCCAGAATCAGCTCCCCAACTTCACCACACAATCCACCCCCTCATCGGAGCCCCTCCATCGTCCACAGTGACTCCATCTCATCTCCATCCCCGCGCCGGATACTTCCGACGTCTTTTTCCTCCATTGGCTCCGCGAACTCAACCAAAAATCGGAGCATCCAACGGTCCAGGACGAAGCTTGTGTCGATGCTCGTCCGCGCTGTCTCGTGAAACGCTCGCAGGCGGCTGATGGCGTGGTCCGTCGTTGGCCAGTAGCATCGTAGTTGCAAAATGAGCTCAAAATTTCTCTCCAAACGCTGGCGAGCCACGCTTATGTCTGCCTCGTTGCCGCTGAACAACAGGGTGTGGATTTGGACCGTGGACGCGATGACCAGTACATGCGCCGTCATGGTATATCTAACGTCAGCGCCGGCTGTTGTTTGCGCGCGGTACACCATGTCGCACAGCCGGGCGGCATGGTCTTTGCATTTGTTTGCATACGAGTCTCGGCGCGCAACGGACGCCGATGCCGTAGGGTTGATGGCCGTTGTAGCAGCTGCACCGTACAGAAACTGGTAGTAAAGGAGCTGCCCAAAGTGATAATATCCCAAGTACACCGCGGCAAAGGTCCGGCCGAGACCTCGTGCCGCGAACCAGGCAAAGTTCTCGGGTGTATCTCTCATGTTGTCTGGGAGATCTGCAAGCCAGGCTTCCATACGAGAGCTCAAGATCTCCACGCCCTGCTCCAGAGAATCCCAGTCAGGGTTCTCGGCCACGCAACGCTGGTTGAAGTCATTGATGTCAAGCAAGATCCTATTCAGCCTCACCATCTGCGAGAGATGCTGCGAGCTCTGGTTCGACAAGGGTGCTGCAGGAACGCTGCAGCTCATCGATAGGAACGGCAGATCGTCCATCGGCAGGGGAATGTCGGATCTCGCCGGTAGCAATTTGGGCAGCTTGACTGCGGTGGATGACCACACGTCAATCATGCAGAGTGACCACCAAACTGGGGACCTGTCAGTTGGGCTTCTTGTGCCTTGCAGATGAACTTGGCATCGGAGGATCGTCCTACCCCTTATATTAATCTCGCGTTCCAAGAGGCTGGTTGCTGGTCGGTTAGGGAGGTCCAGCAGCTGTGCCATGCGGCAAGCTACGCCATAGTAGATGTTTTCCGTCTCCCCGTCCCCATCGGCTGTTGCTGCGGCTCCCACCAGCACACAAAGTTGGATGGTTGTTAAGGACACATCGCGAAGGTTGGTCAGCTTCTCAGCAGCTGTCAGGTATACACGTCCTCTGTCCCGCGGGTCAATGTCCGCGAAGGAGGGGTCGGTCGAAAATCTGGATTGTTATCAGATCTCTGCCCGTCTTCATTATCAATGAGTCTTGGCAACGCATGGGTGACGCACCTGGCAGACAAGGCACAGATACCGTAGAGGAGTCCGTGAGGCACCCGGTCGGCGATAGCATCCTCGATAAAGCTTGGCCGGTGAAAGAGGGAGTGGAACTGGTCGTGGATGTAGTCAAAGTAGAGTCTCACCAGATCCAGCCGGACAGGCAGACTAGGCAGAGTGGCATGCGGCGTGGTCTCACATCGGGAGCACCAGCCACTGGCATGGGATCCGGGTGACGGACTTGTCTGTCCTTGGTGTTGGTGCTGCCGTTCCTGTTCTTCCTGATTTTTCTTGCGCTCATTCTCTCTTTTCTCGTAGTACCCGCCCTGAGGTGGTTTCTGGACGCATTTGATTCCCCTTTCGTGGCAGTAAATGCAGTCTTCGAGGCCCTCCCTGGAGTGGCATTTGCGCCGCCGGGCTCTGCAGGATCATGTCAGGCAACTTTTCCAGCGCAAGGACGTCGTCATGTGAAGACAATGGGGCAATCGAATATGTACCGACATGCAGCACAAGCCGAAGGTTTCCGCATGCCGCGGGGGTTACCTCGGAGCAAAGGCCGCTGTGCTCGTCAAGCGGCGCGCAACGAGTGTTGGACAGAAACAGATGGGGCCTTTGGTATTGACGGCAGTGAGAAAATGGCACCAAAAAATCACTGTGCCTGGGCTGCTCTATTTCACCACGCGTTGGTTACCCGGCCGAGTTCGAGTGACCAGGGCCCTCCCTGTCGGTATTCTATGCTCGATTGGGGGCTAGCGGCGGAATACTGACGGTTTTCTCTCTCAACCCCGGCTCAGAACATTGAGTCGTGTCACCCACAATCGTCTGACGAATGATGGCACCTGGTTGCTTCCCCAAAAGTCTCGACCGACCATCGTCTCCAACCCGGAGAATTCCCCATGGGACCCTCTCATCAGCACCTCGATGCGCGGCTTTGGTCCTCAAAACGTGCGATGCCAACGCTGCCCCCATCATGGGTTCGTCTGGGTTCTCCGCACATCCTCGGCAATACCAGGAGATTGGATTGGGCTCTGGCCTGTTCAGATGGCAGCTGTTGTGTTGCGTTGCAGGGTGTGAACAGCCCCCGCGTTCTTGTCTATAAATGCGACGTCGCGCCCTCTCCAACTATTGTCACGATGTGGGAATAACCTCATTCTCGACGGCCCGGTTTCTTCGGCGATTCCTTACAATCTGATTCGACATGTCGCAAGACAAGGCCATTGGCGCCGATGCGGTGCCAGCCGCCAGCCACCACAATGATCATAACCAAGGCGAAGCCATCACGGCGATGCAGATCGAGCGTGGGATGAGCGTTCGAGACTCTCTTAGATTCTGGCCCAAGGCCGTGATATTCTCGTTCATCATCTCTCTGGCTATCATCATGGAGGTACGCTGTCGCCCATCCTGGAAGACTCAGTCATAGGGAGGTACTAACAACCCGCAAAGGGTTACGACACTAATTTGATGAGCAACTTTTACGTCTTTCCAGCATTTGCCAACCGTTATGGAGACGAGATCAATGCCAAGGGTGAAATGATAGTCTCGTCCCGGTGGCAAACAATTATCAACAACGGTGTTCAAGTCGGCTCCATCCTTGGCCTCATCCTCAATGGCTTCATCACCGAGTGGCTTGGATACAAGAAGACCATGATTGTCTCTATGGTTGCGATGATTGGTGCCGTTTTTATCCCGTTCTTCTCCAATGGTCTACCGATGTTTCTTGCTGGTGCTCTTATTCAGGGTATCCCGTGGGGCATCTTTCAAACTTTGGCTGTCACCTACGCTGCCGATATCTGCCCGATGGCACTCAGAGGTTACATGACGTCCTGGGTGTAAGTTGTTTCCCATCGCAGATGATGCGAACATCAACTAATGGGCGCAGTAACATGTGCTGGGTCATCGGAGGACTCATCAGCAGCGGCATGCTTCGTGGTCTGTTGCAGATTGATAATCAGTGGGGTTATCGCATTCGTAAGTGGTAAAAAAACTGACAATCGACCGCTTCGCTGACTTTGATACAGCCTTTGCGATTCAATGGGTATGGCCTATCCCCATCATTATCGGCACCTTGTTCGCCCCAGAGAGCCCTTGGTGGCTCGTTCGCCAGAACCGCATGGAGGAGGCAAGAGAAGCGGTCCGCAGCTTGACATCTCCTCAGAGTGGCGTCCACTTTGATCTGGATGCCCATATGGAGATGATGCGACTTACCAACCAGTTTGAGATTGAGGTCAGCTCCGGAACTCACTACTGGGACTGCTTCCGTGGCATCGACCTCCGCCGCACCGAGATTGCGTGCATGGTTTGGCTGACCCAGTCCTTCTGCGGAGTCCCTTTCATGGGATATGGTGTGCAGTTCATGACGAGCGCCGGTCTCAGTAAAGAAAGCGGATTCTCAATGGGCTTGGTGCAGAACTGCATCGGTCTCATCGGATGCATCATCGCATGGTACATCATGACCCACATCGGCCGACGCACCCTTTACTTGGCGGGCTTGTCGTCCATGGTCATCATTCTCATTGTCATCGGAGGACTCGGCATCGGCGCCGAATCGAACGCAAAGTCCTGGGGCGTGGGAGCTCTCATCGTCGTGATGCTCTTTCTCTTCCAGCTTAGCGTCGGTCCATCTTGCTACACCCTCGTGGCTGAGATGCCATCCACTCGGCTGCGTGTCAAGACTGTCGCGCTCGCCCGTGCCTTCTACAACTCGGGTGGCTTCATCGTCAACGCCATTCAGCCTAAGATTATCGGAACAAACGACTGGAATTGGGGAGCCAAGGGTGGTTTCTTTTGGGCTGGTATTGCGGCCCTGTTCCTCGCGTGGACGTTCTTCAGACTGCCGGAGCCGTTTGGTCTTACGTACTCAGAGATTGACTTGCTCTTCGAGCATCGGGTTAGCGCTCGTCACTTCTCGCAAGAGGCAGCCGATGCCCTAAGACCGCAGTTGGAGGAGGTCGCCAACCGTCAAGAGAAGATTGCTGCCGTGGTCAGCCACCATGAGCACGAAGTTTAGGCACCGTGTTGTATGTAAGCCCGGACCTCGAGCCCGCAAAGCCACTACCATTTGCAGAACCGAGTGCTATATATTACATGTCCATCTACAATATTTAATAAATAAGTCTCCCTGGCATATTTGAAGGATGTTCCGCAAAGGTACAGGTTGACTCATGTGCCGATGCCGAAAGTGGTTAACCGGAGCGCTCCCCAACATCGTGTCATTGCATCACGGCTGAATGGGTTGGATGGCTGAAGTGATGGTACCACTGGTTCTGCCATTGATCCGTGCCGAAAATGATGTATTGCATTGGTCTCCGCAGGAAATGCCGGCCGCATAGGCCGAAGAATAATCCCAAAAACACTATGTTGGTCAAAGAGAACAGGCAACATGAACGCCCAAGCTCTTGGGATGTAAATGCAAGAGTCGTCCGACCTCACTTTTTTCCCAACTAGGATCGCGGCAACGAGTTTAATCCCTCGTAATTCCTGCACCGGTAAGGTTCAAAAGCCGGCAGGTATCTTTGTGCAAGTTATCTTCCTGTTGAATTTGTTGGATCCTCACTCGAGTTCTTTCCAACATTCCTGCCGCCATTATGATCGCCAACTACTTCACGTTGTATGCGATCACAGCATCTGCAATTATCTCTGTCGGAAGTGCGCTTACTCAGGTCGAGAATGTTGTCAATGTCCCTGAAGGATGGGTTTCCCAGGGTAGACCCGAACAATCGGATAGGATCACCCTTTCCGTTGCCCTTAAGCAGCCCAAGCTCGACGAATTGAAATCTCGCCTCAAGGCCATCAGCGACCCGACTAGCAAGGACTACGCAAAACGTCTCTCTCAAGAATCCGTGGAGAATTACCGTGCCGCCAGCCGCGAGGATGTGGATGCCGTACGTTCGTGGCTTACGGCTCAGGATATCGTCGACTTAGAAGTATCCCGGAGTTGGATCAATTTCAATACGACGGTTGCAAACGGCGAGAAGCTTCTTAACACGAAGTTCAACCAGTACAGCTTCAATGGCGGGGCTGCAGTTATTAGAGCTCTCTCATATACAGTTCCAGAGAAAATCTCCTCGGCCATCGACTTTGTTCATCCTGTTACCAACTTCATGGCCACCTCCCGCCAGCCACTGCGGCTGGATCCGCTCGCCGACAAACCAAAAGCACCTCCCGGTAAATCGAAGAGCCCCTGCAACGACGGCACTGACCCGATCTGTATCAAATCCCTTTACAAGATCAATTATACAGCCCCCATCGGGAACTCGCCCGTCAAGTTCGGCATTGCGGGTTTCCTAGAGGAGTACATCAACAAAGAAGACACCACGACGTTTATAAAGCGTTTCGCACCCGAGATCCTGGAGACGGGCTACGAATTCAGCGTCGAGCTCATCAACGGCGGCGAGAACCGGCAAAGCGCAAATGTCGCCGGCTCGGAAGCTGCACTTGACGTCCAATACGCCATGGCTTTGGGGTATCCTGCCAATGTTGTGTACTATTCCACAGGAGGCCGCGGAACAAAATTAGACAAGGATGGAAAGCCGGATGACTCTCCGAAATCAGACAACGAGCCTTATCTGGAGTTTCTGGAGTATCTTCTCGCCCGACCAGACGACACCTTGCCCCATGTCATATCAATCTCTTACGCCGATGATGAGTTGAGCGTCCCACAGCCGTACGCCATCAGGATGTGCGACATGTTCGCTTCTCTCGCAGCACGGGGCGTATCTGTCCTTGCCGCTAGCGGAGATGGCGGTGCACGGGGTACGGGAGGCCTCAAGTGCTACAGCAACGACGGCAAGATGACCGAGATGACTTTGCCAACCTTTCCAGCTTCTTGTCCGTACGTTACTGCAGTCGGGGCTACGACAAACTCTGGACCGCCCGTCAATGGAGCAAAGTTCAGCACTGGTGGCTTCAGCAACTACTTTGAAAGACCGGAATGGCAAGATGGTGTGGTGAAGAAGTACACCAAGGCCCTCAATGGCACTCTTGACGGTCGTTACAATACCTCCGGTCGTGCTTTCCCCGACATCAGCGCCATCGGTTCCGGTTTTGTCATTCAACGAGCCGGCAAGGAGAGCAGAGTCCTTGGGACCAGTGCCAGTTGTCCTGTCGTTGCGGCCATGATAGCTCTGGTCAATGACGGACGTCTACGAGCGGGAAAAGGCTCAGTTGGCTGGTTGAACCCAATACTCTACTCTAAAAAGATGCGTTCCGTACTCCAAGATGTTGTTGAGGGAGAAAGCCAGTCTTGCGCTTGGAACGGAGACGCGCCTGGAGGGTGGCCTGCGAAGCCGGGTTTCGATACCATCACCGGGCTTGGTGTGCCCAATGATTTTGAGAAGTTCTTCAAAGTGTTTATGGACTTGGACTAATCCCAATTCTGGTAATGGGCTGGTCCAGAGACACTGCACACTCATTGGCTGGCTATTTCTAGTTTGTTATGCAATAATCGAGATTATTTTTATGAGATCGCCTAATTTTCCTGTGTCTGCGCGGCTATATTTCCTGTACACTTGACTATGACTATCGAAAGCGATAGTAGCGATAGCGACAAGGAGGACAAGGACGACAAGGACGAGGACGAGGACGACTATAACGACGACAACAATAGAAGCGACGACGACAACGATAACGACGACAACGACGACGATATCGACGGTAGTGGAGTAATTAGAGTATAGCCACAGAAAAGTAGTCGCTCTAGCACAGTAAAAATAGGCGGTCTCATTTTTATTGCCTGAGCCTATTATGAACCAGGAGAAACCTCTATGCAGTCAGAGATATGATGCGATGGGTTTCGCTCTTACTCGATTACTTTACGGAGCCAGGCTGACGCATCCGTCGGCGCTGTCCTCAAGGAAGATACCGCTAAAGATGACTCCCTCGTTAATGCCGGAAGGCTGGAAGCCGTTCTTGGTGATGTCCCCGGTGCCTCCTACGGGCTTCTTGAGAAGACCAAAGTGGTACTGGCCCTGTCCACTAACGTCGTTCTTGACTGCATCGCCCTGGGCCTTGAGGGGATCCTTGCCAGTCGAGTAGAAGACCTTGCTCGTGCTATCCTTATGTTAGTGATGTGACTGTCGAAAGCATGTGGCAGTACTCACTTGGCCCCAAAATCCAATGTTACGGCAAAGTTGTGCGTCACACCCTCAGTGAAGGGGGTGCTGAACAAGACAGGAGGCGAAGGCTTCGTGTTGACATTGCCGAAGAGTTGGAGCGTGTCCGGGTTGGCGTTGCTTCCGCCGAGAATGGTGCCAGTTTTGAGAACCATCTGGTTCGTGCTGAAGTCGTTACTCTCTAGGAAAGCCATCTGGTACTCGTGGGAGACATTGAGGGGCCGTTGAGCATCTTTTGCGATGCTGAAGTGGAGGGTCTTCACGCCCGTGGTGGATGGGTCCGTGCCGGAGTTGCTGGACGGGATAAGCTCGGCGCGACGAAAACCGGTCTGGTTGTTAAAGATCGACTTGTCACTAAAGCTTGTTAGTCCGATTGGAGTTTCGACTATCGCGGCCGATTGGCAGTACCTGATGGTGACTTCAATGGGCACGCTCTTCGTGCCGTCAAAAGGAGAGCCGGCCTGCTTGGGCAGTTGGAGAACTTGGCTGAAGGCTAGGCCCTTGCCAAACACATTCTGAGGATTGAAGAAGTTGTTCTTGGCATCGAGAGACTTGAGTGCGGTCCCGGACGGGATGCGTCCATCGAATTGGATCTTGCACTTTTGGGCAGCTGCTGTCGAAGCAAGCCAGAGAAGAGTGAATGACTGAATGCACACCATGATGAAGTTGGACCTGCCGGATGGGACAATGAGTGAAAGTGGTGCGAAGTTAGAAAAGAAAGACGCTCAAGTGAGATACTGGACAAGAATTGATAGGATGGGAGAAGGGTTAAAAGTTGACGGGGTCGGAAGCATCGTGGCATTTGTAGACATGCTGACTATTGGATTGACAGCAAACCCTAGCCGGGGAGTTCATATGATGCACCGATTAATGTCGAATCATGCGCTCTTGGCACTTGTTTGGTATGGTTCATCGAGTGTTGACTTTCGGAACCAGACGAATAGGGCGCTGCAAGGTAGCATTGGACCGGCGAAAAAAAGGATACGGAGACTAAAATGAGCGGCGAGCTGAGGAAGGTTTTCTCCATGTCGGGGTTTCGTGGGGTGAGGAAACCGGAGATGCGGTTGACACGAGTCCGGCTAGCCAACCGGCGGTGGCAGAGGAAGACCGTCAGAACTGTCACAAGGGAGTGGAGGCAAGACGATCAAACAGCATCGTCTCAGGGACCGAACTGTGGTCTCGCCCGAAGATGCCGCGAAGCACGGAAAGATCAGATGGACCATGCCGGCGGGCGGGTGCAAGTGATGCCACGTTGGGACCAGCTGGGAATCCTTGCAGCGGCGGTTGTTTGCCTGTCATGCAGCCGTCTCGAGTGGTAACTTGCATCGTGTGTTCAGCCCAGCGGCCTTGCATCTTGGAGATTGAGGCTCTGGACCTGACTCGATTTCCCGGAATTAGCTTCTAGAAGGTGCGTGGAGACTGGAAATATCCCGATGCCAAGCCGTCGGATCTGTTGCGATGATAATCTGCGGCGTACGGAGGCATCCAATGTGCTTCGTCAATGACAGCAGCATCGCGTCTCCGGATGGTGATTGTCTTTCTCATGAGGAGTGTCGGACCCGCCCGCCCAAAGCAAGACTGATGATATGGTGAAGTTGTGAGCCGGCTGTTACAATTCTATTGTCCTCGATCCCGTTGACGGCCTCGTTCTGTGGTGCCTATCATCGGGAGAGGTCAAGCAAGACTGCGCCGAAAGGCTCGAGTCCCGCCTGGTGCTCCCCATTAGCTTGGCATGGCATTGAGGAGACTCTCTTTGAGCACTGGACAGGTGTTGTTTGCCCCGCAAGATGATATGGAGACGTGAGCGAGAAACATTCATATCTTGGCTTGGTCAGAAATCTCAAACCGAGGTAAGGTACCTTAAGTAGGTATGAGTACGGGAAGCACTGTGTTTTTTTTTTGGAGAGCCCGCCTACCTTACCTCAGCTTTATGTCGGTGATGCATCCCCACTTTCCGTGTTTCTTTATCGGGCTCTTATCGTTATCTTATCGATAATCGATGGAGCTTCGGTGATCTCACTGAGCGATCTGCGCTAAGCAGTTGGCGTCTGTCTGGCCGCCGTCGTTCGTTCACTGAACCGAATCACTGAAATGGAAAGTGGAGAGGTCCCTTCGGCCAGTCGCGGTTGCAAAACAACATCCGATTCAGCAAGATCCTCGAACGAACGTGAACGTACCTTCCAACCTTCCGTCAATAACGCCAAATCACCAACCAGTCTCGCGCCTCCTTCTTTTGTGTGTCCTTTTTCGCCATCGAATTTACATGATTCCCTTCCATTCGAGATCCGGAATTGGGCGACACGCTACCTGGAGCTTACCCCGTTAAGCTTTAAAGCTTTGGTCTTTCCGAGCCCGTTCTGAGACGCGTCTGTTCGTTCGAGGTCAAGCTTGGGCCTGGAACTTCCCTTTCGCCTCACCATACCACCACCACCTCTCTCACCTCTCACCTACCTCTCGCCTCCAACACCTCTCCAAACCCGCGATACCCGACTCGTTGACGGACTGCATTTCAACCTGCAATTCGAAGCGGTAGCGACATCAATCGACCAAGGAGCCTCGCGACCGATTTCAACCCGTCGCGAAATTCGTCCACTAGCTCCTCGTCGCGAACCCCGGTCAACTGTCAGTTCCCGCTCTGTCCACCGCGTCGGTACCGCAACCATCCACAATTCTTCCGCAGTCGCGTCGCAAAACGCTCGTTCAAGGCAGCTACGAAGTCTTTTCTTCTCGGTCGACTTTCTTCAGACTACACAGATATTTCTCGCAAAACCCCTGTTTGTTCTGCGAGGCGCTGCCCCAGTCGCGCATTGCCAAAACCGCCCACGATCCGAGCCGAAGCCGTCAGGGAGCCTCCTCGACAACCACTCCGAACCAGTCCAATGGGCCGACTTTGAGGACTTATCGACATGCCTACCACTCAGGTGACCCCTACGGAAGATGTGCTTCTGCAGGGTATTGCCGATGCTCTCTTCAAAGCTCGCAAAGTCGTGGTCATTACCGGTGCAGGCATTAGCACCAATTCTGGCATACCTGTGAGAAACCCCGACTGCCGCAGTTCCTCGACTTGTCTGACAATGGTCTAGGATTTTCGAAGCGAAAATGGATTGTACTCTCTGATTCAAGCTCAATTCGACGCCGCGAGCAGAGAGAATGTTCCGGCAAGCAGGCGTCTGTCATCATCTTCTGCGTCGTCATGCTCAGACACCACCCCGGCAGAACGACCCATCAACCGACAGAAGATTTCCTCCGAGGACTCGGCAATATGTATCCCGAAGGAAGACTTGCACACAGCCAACACCCAAGAGACTGTAGGATCCGACGACGAGAGGCTGTGTTCTGCAGGAGAGGAAGCAATGAACCTGATGCCCAGCCCTCCCGGTACCAGGTCGAGAGCCAAGAAGGCCTTGGAATTCACTAAACATACCGTCAGCCGCCAGAGCACACCCGCGAAGGCACAGGGCGAGCTTCGACGTTCCAGGAGAGCGCAATCATTACCCCCGAGCCCACCACGAGATGCAGCACCACCGCGAAGCTTTCCTTCAGCAGCCGAACTTCGAGCGCAGAGCCCCATCCGTACCTCCTTGCGTGTCCGAGGGCGCTCCGCGAGCCCCGATCCCAGGCGGCGACCAAACGCGTACCAAACGAACTCCGCTGAGCTGCGAAAGAGGTCCCTGTTAACCTCTTCGCTGAATTCGATGCAAGCGGCGGACATTGAACCTCTAAGCTTTGCTTCAAGCCCGTTGAGACCACGCCAGACCTGGCCCAATGACGAGTCTGAGGAAACTCTTCCCCCGGCGGCTTCGTCATTCAGGGCTGACCTGATCGCCGCGCAACTCACTACACCCAGAACCACTAGATTTCGCTCCGATTTCAGCTCGCCTTTATCATCACCACCCCTAGGCTTCTCCTCGTCACCCCTTTCATCTCCACCAACGATTCTATCCGACCCATTCCAGGAGGCTTCTTCGTCGACAAGCCGGCAATCTTCCAGCACAGCAAGCAGTACGGCGTCTTCAGAAATCGACGAAACACCTCCATCTTCCAACCCGGCAAAGGCACTGCCCAATATTAAAGGCAGGGACCTTTTCGACGCCTCTATCTGGGCTGATCCCCTACGAACTTCAGTGTTCTACACTTTTGCGACTACCTTACGACAAAAGGTCAAGGATGTTCAGCCTACAGCGTCTCATCACTTCATCGGCCACCTGCGCAACCGGGGCAAGCTGGTCCGGTGCTACACGCAGAATATTGACCAGATCGAGGAGAAGGTGGGGCTTACGACCTCACTTCACGATGGACCTGGCCACCGAGGTCGCTTTTCAAGAAAGTCAACGACCCAAGTGCCGACTCCACTCACACCACCCAGCCACGAAGAAATCCCAAAGGACGCTGGAAATTCCGGGGAAGCAAATAATGAGCCACCTCAGTCACAGACGAGTGAAGACGGGGAGGGGATTGAGCAAGTGTTGGCTCGTGGCCTGCCTGAGCAGCAACCTCCACGACAGGAAAAGAAGTCCAGCGGTGTTGAATGTGTGTTCCTCCATGGATCTCTCGAGTCTCTGCGATGCTTCCTTTGCGGAAAAATCTGTGACTGGGACGACGAAGGACGGGCACACGAAACCCTCTCTGGTCGTCAACCCGAATGTCCTTACTGTGTGGGTGCCACCGCGGCGAGGCAGGAGAGGGGTAAGAGAGCACTAGGCGTGGGCAAGCTGAGGCCAGACATTGTCCTCTACGGCGAAGAGCATCCCAATGCCCACCTGATATCCCCAATTGTCACGCATGACCTTGGACTCTGTCCTGATCTCCTCCTCATCCTTGGCACCTCGCTGAAGGTGCACGGGCTAAAGGTCCTGGTCAGAGAGTTTGCCAAGACTATTCACAACAGAGGCGGAAAGGTTGTTTTTGTCAACTTTACAAAGCCTCCTGAGAGTTCATGGGGAGATATCATCGACTATTGGGTGCAGTGGGATTGCGACGCTTGGGTATCCAACCTAAAGGAAAGAATTCCATTGATGTGGCTTCCCCCAGGAACGAAGCTGCCAAAGAAAAAGAAGGAAGTCAACGATAAGGCCAAGAAGCGCCAGAACAATGCAGACGGGAAGACAGATGGGAAGACAAACCTGGATACGGCTGGGCCATGCGACGAGGTTCTAGTACTTACAACGGAGACGGCCGTCAAGGCAGAGATGCCAGAAATACCGAAAAGGACCATCGAGACGACAGATCCAGCCGAAAAGCATCAGCCGCAAACCCAAGAGCAGGAAATACAGACCACGGAGATCCAGGGGCTCGCGGAAAGTCGAGGACCTGCAAACAGCTCAGTTAAGGTCGAGTCGACGCAGGACGAACAACCGCAACAGAAGAAGGCTTCCCAAGATACCCCACCAAAGTCCTCGCCTCAACGCCCGATGGCAGTGCGAGATGACAGAACCAGCGCGGCCTACCTCACCTGGAAGATAAGGATGGAGCTTCGCCGCATTTCTGGCACCGAAACCCCGCCCTCAACCTGCTCTGCACCTTCAAAAGTCACCAAGCCAAGAACGAAGCGGTCCAGGAAGTCCGCACCAGCCGCGCTACCCGAGCCCTCGCAACCTAACATCAATCCTGATGATGCGCAAGGCTCTCAGGAGGTCCCGGTCGGAACATTGGAGGACGC